CTGCTCTCTCTTTCTTTCACCGTGTGATCGATGAGGTAACTGAAACGAGGTGGAACTCGGAAAAAACACGCGTCACGTCGCTTTCTATCCCTCCTTTTTTTACTATTTCGGAAATTACCCGCTATTAGCGTACGAGCACGGTAATTTACCTTGCTACTAATTACTGCAATATTCTCGTGAAAACGCTGACGTCCTCGTTACGATAGCGAATGCATAAGTCACGAAGCGCGTCCGTGCCGGGTGTCCGGTAGTGTCTAATAAACGAAAATTTATCCTCGCACGACGCGCCGGTTTATTTGCTGGCAATTTTATTCAGCGTCATGTTGTCGTGTCCAGATAAAACGCATGTATATTATTCGGTTTGTAATTATAATTTACGAATTTGTGCAAGGTCAGCTGAGTTCATCGATAATTCCTTGGACATCAAGAATTATTACACTGAGTGCTCAACGTACCTCGTATTAATCGTTAGTCTTAATTATGGATATTAAATAGGAAGAACGAGACTTTTCAAATGCAAACGTAAAATGAGTTAGCTCTTAAAATAAAAAAAATCTTAAATGTATTGATTACCATTGTGAATTAGTTATAACAGTTTTAATTATGGATATTAAATAGGAAGAACGAGGCTTCAAATGCACGTAAAATTAGCTCTTAAAAAAATTAATTGTATTGATTACAATTGTGAATTAGTTATAACATAGATTGCATTATATTTTATACGAAAAAAGAGGAGGATAAAATCCTTTTTGTAGGTGTCTTTAAATAGACTTTTGCGCAAGTAGCGCGGATTTAGTTTGGCAATGCGTCGAGCTTAAAATCGTTGTGGCTTGGCGGTGGTTTTTATCCGATTTTATGCGGCGAATCTTCCCACGTGAAAAACTGCTGGTTAAAATAAATGAACGTTAAATCTACTAAAGGGATATAAGATTATTCGGAACACTGGGCTTTTAAAGCCCTGCGCGATTGTTATACCATTTCATGTCGGTGATGTGCTTTCAATTCGCAAAAAATACATTTATTACATTCGCGTCGTCCGAAACGCCACGATGAATATATCAGTTTATCCAACAAATAATATAATTTTTCATTACCGAATATATTTTATGACCGCAAAACCTGCAAAATTTTCATAAATTAATAGAAATTATGTTGAAAATCTAATAATTAACAAAATGAATCTAGCAAACAATGAAGACGAGATATGTATACACCAGAAAAGGCTCATTAAAAAAACAAATTAATATATAGCAATAAATTATTAAATTAATTATTCAATTAATTGGAAGAGATGATGAATTTTTTTCTGATATATAAATATATTTTTCTAATATATATATATATTATACATATATTTAATTGAAATCTATAATTTCTTATTCTTTCTAAACTTTTTTATTCATTTACTTATTACATTTTACGCGTTCTTGTATTTTTAATTAATAATATTTCACATACGATTCTCTTAAATCTTGTGTTATATTGACGTGAACATCCAAGCTCAAAAGTTATAAGTGTCTTTCATCATAATTTAGTGGATAATCGGAAATGTCCAAGGGAACGTGTAATGTAATCGTTACACGTGATAATGGCTGCATTGGCTGCCAAATACCAATTAAACTTTTCCAACTACTTTCATAACTTGAATGAAGGCTTGTGTTTATTCAACCATTGTCAGCGATATAAATTACAAGACCAACGCGATGACGATGCGGGCTATCTATCGTGAGCGCTCTATGGTCTCATCTTTTTCAAGTTGATAGATACTGATTAAACTTTCCTTAATTTCAACATACGGCTATCTTGGTATTATATGTCTTATTTACAAGACTGAATAATAAAGCAACTCGGCAAACTTTATTATCGGATGCATATCGTGGTTTCTTAAGACGAATAAGAGAACATAAAGACCAACAAGACAAGTTTATACAAACTTTAATAACGTAGTCAGCATTTTTTAAAGTGAAGAAAACTTCGTAAAGATCCTTGTGCAAAATTAAAATTATCTCTATTATCTTTTCTTATCGTTGTCTCTTATATATTATACTATACTAAAATATCATGCTGAGCATATTTAAAAAATTTAATAAAGTCACACACATTAGAAAAAAAATTTAATTCCTTTAATAAAACTGTTTAGTTGAGGCATTTTTTAACAATTAAGCAACAAAAAATATTTAATATTTTTGAGACTCCATGAGTGCTTTCTATATAAAGATTTTACGTTTTGCGGGTTTTCTCTGTATCCAGATCCATTCTTGGAATGCCAACATTTCGTGAACTTTGCATCAAGACGAGGAGCAGCCTGATACAGTAGGCTGCTCCTCGCCCTGATGAAGTGGACTGCAAGGTTCACGAAACGTTGGCATTCCAAGAATGGATCTGGACACGGAGAAAACCTGTAAAAAAACATAATCTTTATAAACCAAATATTTAAGTTATATAATAAAAAATTTGATTGTTTCTGGTAAATACACTTTTTAACTTTTTAAATAACAAAATATTTCTTTATTCCAATTAAGCAGTTTAGTATAAACAAATATTTTGGTTCGGTTTATTTTAAATTTCAGAACAAAACAGCGTAATCTATTGTTATACTAGGAAAAATATTTTACTAACAACAAAATATTTGATTAAAATACAAAATATTTAACCGCAAACTAACCTGTTTTATTACTTTATTTGCTTATAAATTAAATTATTTAATTGGCATAAACAAATATTTTTGTTATTTAAAAAGCTGAAGTGTATTGAGCAGAAGCAACTAAATTTTTTATTGTACAAACAAAATAATTGGTTGCTGTTAAAAAATGTCAGTTTTGCTAAAGGCGCTACATTTTTATTTCTAATGTATAATGCTACAGAAATTATGAGAATTCATGAGAATTTTTTATTTTTTAATTATTATTCATTTTTTCTATAATTTAATTTATTAATTTTCCTAATTCAGAAGAAGAGAACTAAGTTTACACGTAAATTGTATGTTATCATAGTTCCGGATTCCGTTTAATAATAACATCGTTTGCACATAGTCACGACATTTGTTAAAAAAAAAGGAAAAATAACAATTTCAAACAAACGACCGCGATTGTTCATGCAACGAGATTCCCACGAAACGACAATTGAAATTTTTTGCGGGCTATTCGACAAAGGCCATATTTATTATCTCGTTAATTTTAATCCCCCGACCACGCTATGTGACCCAGTATCACATACACCTCGACGACAATGATTTACGGCGCTTTTCCGGTACAATAAAGCAGAAATGTGTACGAACGTACACACATACACGCGCAATATGCACGTATCTACTCAGTAAAAACGGCGTCTACTTTTATTTTGGCCATTTCATTCGTCCGTACAGAGTGCTTCAAAATTATCGGATGTCGTTTTCGCTGAAGACTTTTCGCTCTGTGAAAATGTGGAATATCTGTAAGAAATGTCGAATATCTGTATTTTTCGAATAACTAATTGAGCATAAAGAAATTTCGATAAATTCTCTTTCTCTCTTTATAAAAATTTAAAAAGAAAAATGATGACAAAATTCTAATAAGCACAAAGTTAATAAAAATGGCGCATTTCGCACATAGCATTTACTAAGAATATTCTTGATTAATCTTGAAACAACAAAACACGTTTGCGCTAGATTGAAATTCACTGATATCGCAAAGACAAAGCAGAGAAGCCTTTATGAATCTCGGACCTCCGCAAAGATTATTATAGTCATTGTTCAACGAACTCTCCTTAGCTAGTTCCCGCGGGCAAAACCGAGTATCGTACCATCTGAGCTCAACAAGTTGATAATCTGCATCACCGCTGTACATCAACTTCGGACCTAAGCGCTTTCAATGGGTACATTAGCATCATGTTTAATATACGAGCGAATTGAATAAACAATTATCTATGTTTGCATGTAATATGCGACTTTGCGATAAATTAAACCGACAGTTAAAGCGAATTTTCCCCTTAGATAACAAGTAAAAGCTGCATTTATTACATTCCAGAGAGAATTGATCTTTGCGCTTTCTGAAGATTGAGTTTCTTCACAAAATCACCGCGTTATACGAGAAGAATAGTCAAGATTAGCTTTTATGAGATACTCTGGGACCGATTTTGTAATCTGTCCTATTCGACGTTATTATTACTGCAACGGAGATGAATAGGCGTCTGATTTTCTCAGCATTTTGTTGAGACTAATTCTTTATGCGCTTAACTTTTGGCCTCTCTACTACTCTAAAGCATCGGTCAACGTCACTAAGGAGAGTCACGAGTAAGATTGACGAACATCTTATTCCCTTGGCGAACAATGTTCGCTATTATATAATGTTCTATTTAAGATTCGCTGCTGTTGTTTATCATAAAACCCGCGAAGCAATAAGTCGCGAAATTGCAAGATTGATCAACACTCCGGATAATAGAAGTCCGAAAATATATAGACTACTTTTGAATGAGATTCAGCATTGAGATTTATCCGACGCAATCCGATTAAAGATATAAAAGATTTCACGGAAATATAAAATCGAGATGCTCGGACTAAAAAAAAAAAGAAAGAAATCCCGCGCATTATGCCGATCGGAATTTGGCGGTTATATTCGACTCTCGACGATATTATTTCCAACTTAATCACTAACGATCGCGCGGCCAATAAATTGTTCGTAATTTGCTTTCACGGAATAAGCTTCTCACGGTATTATCTATATCTACTTTCGCCAAAGTTACTAGATTACTACTACTCTCCCGCGCACATACTCGGTATCTCTGCACTTTCTTCCGTCTTTGCAAGCTCTTTAACCGATTTAACCAATTTTTTCCCGAGCTAAAATCTTATCTTTTTTTCTCTTCAACTTTTTAATATCTCAAATATCCTGAGAATTGAGGCTCAAGTGGAAATCATGTTTGCGGAAAGATATCAATTTTTATTCACTTAACGCTTAGTAGATATATGTTCCATTCAATCATGCGATTTTTCAAATCAATTTTACGAAAACATTTCGTTACAGATAATGGACAAATGGTACGTCGTAGAAGTACTGCAACACAAACTCGACCCCACAAAGCCAGTGAAGACCATTGTCAGCAATGATCTTTGTCCGATTGTGAAGTTGAGACCATTTGAACATTCTTCGTTGAAACTGTGGTGGAGTGAGGAATCTGGAGACCTGGAATATACCTTCCGGATACCAAATATTAGCACGAAAAAAGGTTTATGGCGAAATATGTATCCGCAGAATGGTAAATTTTCATATTATTTTGGTTCTAGGATTTATAGAGGAGAAAGTGGTATTATGGCCAGTGTATATATTGCCTCCCTTAATATCTCTGCTATTATATAGCGAATCCTAATTACTTATGGAATTATTTGTTCAATAACTCGCCGTTACATACGCTAATATACCAATACTCAAGTTAACACTTATTACGACGCATTTTTATTTTCAAATATTTTGAAATGATTCTGAGATACATTTTAGCATTTAATTACATCTATTTCCTCATTTTTCTTAAACGTGAGTATTTTCATGCGAATATATGTATTTTTAAGTGTTGTTTGCTATTTAACATTTTATTTGACTGTATATATTTTGAGTTATACAAATTTGAACAATAGCATGGTATTTTGCTAATGTGAATCTTGATTCTTTCTCTCTATGAATATTGCTTACTCATCACAGCCTCTTTTTTGAAGTTTTCATATCAAAATAATTATTTAATGATCGATTGTAGCTCTACTGTTAATCTATAGTTTATATTATATGTATTATTATATGTATTATTGAGTTGTCCGGAAAGTTGCCGCAAAAGGTTTAAATTTAATAAATATATATTAAAATTTAAACCTTCTGCGTTTCATTTTTCCTTCAAAATCGGCACGAACTTTTCGGACAACCTATTTTTAGTACTGAAATTTTTAGTACTGAGCATCTTATATGCAGAAGTTATGTGAATGTATATACATTTATTTGCATACATTCTAAAATGTTTTACTTTTTTATTAAGTGACCAAATATTGTTTTCTAAACAAAATTAATTTTTTAAGGCTATTTTTATGGAAGGCCACATTACCATCCATGTTTTTCTTTGAGTCATTATGCAATATCGTCACATTTTATTAATAGTGTCCTAAGTAATAAATATTTCGTAACTTTGAGTTCAGAATTGATTCAATAATCAATTTATCAAATTTTAAACTTAAATATTGATTAATAACCAAATTACTGTGTAAAATGTTCCTGGGATGCCATAATGCTATCTTCTCCTCTATGTACATATATGTATATATTCTCTATTTTATTTTTTAATTTTGAAATATTTTATTATCGCATGGAAAATAAGTTTTGCCAAAGTATTTAAAAATTTAGCTAAATACAGATCTAAAAATAATTTTGTTAAACTATCAAAACAATTATTAAGACATTAAAAGTGGTTACTAGAATATCAAACTTTTTCTAGTACTGTTCATCATGCTAGAGCGTCCTACACAATTATTTCAATAGTTCAATAAAATTATTTACAAATTTGTATCTTCAATTTTTACACTGAGAAAAAATGTAAACTAAATTTTAATGAAATTATTTATTTGAATAATACCAATTAACACTTACTTAAGTAAATATTTGCTCAATAAAAAATTATAGTTAAATCAAAATAGTATATGTATTAAATAGTCTTTATATTTAAGCAAAACTTATTTCTGCGCGATGATGAGGAATTCCTTTTCATGAAGAATATTTCTCATTACATTCTAATATAGTTCTCATTTGAAATAGTTTTTAATACGATGTTAAATAGTATCTAATTGTGAGTATAATTCAACATTGCGATTTAATTAACAAGTAGACGATGGCTATTCTCGGTTAGAGTACGTGCATTAATATTGAAACCAGATGCATTAATTATCAGTGATGCAAATTAATGCGTTTGTATTGTACATTTGACATCCGTGCAATGAACCGTGTAAACTGGAATCTGATGCAAAAACATATTTGCATAAGGAGCAATTGCACAAAAGAGAATTGTGATTAATAATATCTGGCGAAATTAGGATAACACAGTTTCAGATTATAATTTCTTTTAGACAAATCAATTGAAATCGAACGGGTGAGTGGGTGGGCTTTACTTCTTTATATCTTAATCGAATCTTTCAGCATTCCGATTTTCTCGATAATTTCCAAACTATCTCGACCATTCGTTCCAATTATATGACAAGTTACGGCTCTCATCGCGATTGATTTTCCATGTTACACAGTTAGCCGAATTAAGAAATCTTTCGTGATAAAACTGAGATTCTTAATTTTTCAATCACTCTTAAGCAGCATTTTGCCCAGATGATCTTTTGCCAAGTGTCTCTTTAGAAACGAAGAAATAGAATTACGAAGGACTTTTCAAAATAGCAAAAAGGAAAGATGACGAACAATTTCTGTGAAAATCATGTAATAATTTTAACGTACGATTCAAAACTTTATTATATCTCGAATAGCTTTTCGTGAATGGACAAAATTAAAACTCGGTTTTCGTTGGAATTTTCCAATTTGTCTTAAATTGTGACGAAAACGTGTTACGCTTTTGCACGTCTCGCATTAGTATTCCTTTCGTTCTCTTCCTCTTCTCTTTTTCTCTCTTGCTTCGAATTTTATCGATTTATTGTATAATAAAATAAAAAAAATATTATAAAATTTTAAAAGAAATATGTAATTAACTAATAATAAATCTGTCTATTGAAATGTTACGTTTTTTAATATATAAGTTTAAAAAAATGACTTGAAGACATCTTCTTTAAACATGAATATCGGAAGAAAAATTATCAATATAAAAGAATTAAAGAAATAATGAAAGTTTTTGATATTACATTGATGAAAAATTAAAATTTTCATTTCGTATGTTTATTAGAGTCTCTCTGTTTCAATAACGAGGAATTAAACACATATATCCAATATGTAAAGTTTGGTGTGAAGTTCAAAGTTCTTTCGAGGGTGATTATCATAAGCTAGTCTGAATAACCGATCACGCTTGTCAGACGGGTGTGGTTGAAAGTTTCAGGCAACTCCTCACAGAAGAGTAAATTGGATTAACGATTCGGTTGGGTAGCTCACGCTTAAAGTTGCATCGGCATTAGGAACGTGCCATTAGGCCGGCGGCTCTTAAGATAAATATGCGCTTTGAATAAATCATCAAATGACAACCTCGCAGAGTTGTCGAAGACAAACTCGCAAGGAAATAGGAACATTTCTCTGTCATGGAAGAATCAATCGGAATTTATTCGACGAGATTCGCATTGCGAACCTCGAGAGAAGCTGTAAACATGAAGGAAACGAAAAAAGGAACTATAAAATCAGGACAATATGACGTCTATATAAAAAAGAATCTAGTATTCTAAATAAAACGTGCTTCTTTTTATGTATGGATTTCATCAATTCTGTATTGAAAATTAATACAATTGGGTAATTATTAAAATAATAAAAGATAAAGTAATTATAATAATAAAAAGATTAATTAAAATGATTATAAATTGGACTAAAATAGTTATAAAGAACTAATTATATCTGTTCAATGCTTTGGGAGAAAGAAAATTACAACAAAACGAAATAACTTTATGGTAAAAATATATAAGGTTGCAATAGACTGATGATTGAACAGTAGAAAAAAATAAAGTAAAAAATGAATGGAAACGGGTTATTGCTTTCGTTCGGTATTCAGACTGATTGATAAAGATTTCAAAAAGGAAAGAGATTAAATTGGTTCAACAAAACTGTTTGGCTCACTGGATACTTTCTTCAACTTCGCCCTCTTTACTACGTTTGCTTCCTTTGGTGGATTAAAAGCGTAGAGATTGAAGTTTGTTAAGTGAAAAGCAGAATACTGATTTCTAAGATCTGTGAAAACACGAAGGTAATGTTTTTATAAGGGAAACGATTGTTAATAATTAATTATTATTATATTTTAAAATCTACAAGCATTTTGGATATCTACCTTTTTTTAAACATATTACAAGTGGACTTGTATGATCGTTCGAGGAAGTAAATGTAATAGTGGAACAAAGTTCTTGAAATCATTGTAAAATTCATATGAAATCCCGATGTATAATCCGATAATTACATATGCAACGAGATTTAATTGTGTACATATTAGATAAAATCGTTTATTTTATCAAATGACTTCATATATAGCAAAGAAAATTATTTGTCGTCGAATGAAATCGTCTGAAATCAAATGAAATCATGTGATTTGTGGGATATTTCAGCTAGTGGTTACCTCGTGATCCTTTCTAGCCAAATTGAAGTTGGCGAAATCACTCAATAGTACAAGAAAACTTCGATTATCGGGAGCTGGAGGATTCAATGTAGTTATTATCCGCACAAAATGTTCAGATAAAAAGAAAGTAAAGGAAATATTAAACAAGATAATTCTCTCTTCTCAGATGGAACAAATAAATCGCGTATCAATGTAATTCGGTAAGACACGATTCGCCAACGACAATTAAACTCTCAAGACGTGCCGGCTAATGATCTTAATGAATTCGTGGAATCGTCCGTGTGATTATCGGTTAACCGTCAGCCAAGCCGGGATAGGATTCAGCCGTCGTAAGCTGGCAAAGTCGAGACATCCAATTACGTCTGCTGGCTGTCGGAGAATGACGGGGAACGCGAAGAATTCGTCGCGAGGCGCTTCTCCGAGGAGAAAGTGCTCGTTGACGAGGAAAATAATTTTTCAAAAGTCGCATGGCCATCTGCTCTTTCTAATTTCTTTCCGGCCGACTCTGCAAGTTATTCCCTTCCTCTTCTTCTTCCTTCTCTCCTGGGCAACCTCTCTGCCGAGTGGTTTGTCTGACGTTATTCTTCGCTATCGGGCAACAGCAAATATGGGATTCTGTATAATAGCGCGAGCAGATGCGGAACGTAATGCGGATTGAGGTTTCTCCGGGATTTCATTTTAGTTCGTCTACCGGAGTATACTAATCCGAAAACCGAAAACGATCTGAACTGCAGAGGATAATGTTGCCGCGGCATCATGAAACTGCAAGAGTGCATATACTCGATTGATGCACGAACGTTGTTTGTGAAGTCGCTGGAACTTTAGGAAACGACAGTTAACGAGTTCGCTCTTATATTAATACTCCCACGAATGAATCTTCATTCGGGAAAACGACGTCTCTCTGAAATGAGCGACTTCACGTACAACTTTAAAGCAGGAAGATTGTATAAGGCTGGGTTGTTTCATCTCTCGATAAACTTTAG